AAGTTATCGTCGAAGTTTTTGTTGGTTTTTAACCTTTTGTATCTTGGAGCTGTTAATGGGTAACTTTCAATATGACTTATTGGTTGATTCCAATTATATAGGCGTACTGGTTTGTTAATTAATGATTTCTTTATTCTGAGTTTTCCTATAATTGATGATGGTGATGTAGCTTCTGGGTCAGAAAATTTTTTTGATTTTCTATAGGGTTACTCTTATTTATTGAATCTTTCATGTGTTGAAGTTCCTGTATTGTGTTTATATCTGATTCTGAATCTGCGCTGCCGTTTTTTTGAAAATCTTCTTTTGATAATTTGCTTTTGTTTTGTTATTTTTGTCTTTTTTTTGTTTCTCTTTTTAATTTGATATATCTTATTGTTTGTCTGTGCGGTGTGATTACAAGATTGTGTCTTTCGTTTTTAATTAAACAATTAAGTAATTTGATTGTTTGTTTACTCTCTAGGTTATCTCTTGACAAAGGTTTTAGGATAATGGGTGCATTACTCGGGGGTTAGCGTTTCTATCTACCTAAACTGTTAGTTTTTACGGTCTTTGTGTGGTTATCCTAACTTGGGGCATAGATTGTCGTGGTTGACGGGTTGGAGAGAGAATATCATATCGTGAGAATGATTTTCTACTTTCTCGTGACCAGGTTTTAATTTGTGATGGACTTACTTAATCTTAACTAGGGGTTGTGATTTGTAATCAAGGGTTGAAGAATAGTAGATCATTCCCCAAGTTTCAGGTATAATTAGAACACAGGTAGATCGTTATATACTATTTTATGACTTACTAATTATTTAAGGGTTTTAGCTTAGTTCATATAAAAGGAAGGGCTCAAGTGAAGGATGCAGAACCGAAATGCTTCACTGCCTATCCTAAATAAAATGGTTAGTTTTTCAAAATTTTCTATTAATTTTGGGTCGTTTATAAGGGTTGGAGCGTTAATCGACGTTTGAGGTCGTTAGACACTTTTAAATTTATCGGGTGGGGAAAACAAAATTGTTTTGATTTGATCTAAGGGACGCCTTGATTATCAAAAATTGAATAAATAAATTTATTTTTAAGTGAAACTAAAGATCCAAGGAAAGCCTTGATTATCTGTATATGAAAGAAAAGTTCATTATGGAAAAGCAAGGCTAAGCCTTGATAAGTTTTTGGGTAAAAGTTTAAGTTTAAAAAAGTTTGAAAGTTAAAGTTTAATTGTTATTAGTTTTTTGAATTTATGCTGTTATGTTTTAGGTGATGAAGCTGAGATGAAAAAAAGATAGTGTGTGTGAGTTCGTAGTATCATGTAGTAGATTGGTCCATTTCTGATCGTTGTTCACGCCTTGATCTTGGTCTTCTTGCAATACCTGGTTTTTCTTGTTTTGTTCGGAAAATTGGCGTAGGTTTATTGAGACGTAAAGACAATTCAATTAAATTGTCTATTCCAACTAACATTTCTGCAATTTTGCAACTGTCTTATTCTAAGTTTAACTGTCTAGTTCTAAGTTAGTTTAATTGTCTAGTTCTAACTGTTCTTATGTTATGTACTCATAGAGTAATTTCAGATAAAGTACACCGTCTGTTCGTCACGCTATCTTATTTGCTGCCGGATAGATTCGTGCAACTTCTTAGTCTAATACTAATCTTAATCTTACTCTTATATCTCCTAGTCTCAATAGATCTAGTGTTTACTGGTTTTCGCGAGTTAGTTCTTAGAATTTATCCAGAAGGAGAACAACTGTAGTCTAAGGTTCATTCAAATTGTTCTGGTGCTGAAACTACTTGTGTCAATATTAGAGATGGAATATGATTGTATAAGTAGTAATTTTTTATTGTGATAGTTTTATCAATAAAATAATCGGTTATAAGTATAATTTAGAACTGATTCCATTATATAATCCGATAGATTCTAGAAGTTTGGCCAAGGAAAAGTGTTTTTGATTGCTTATGTATTAATTTTGTTTGCGTATACATGTAAGTTTGTTCTTTCAAAAAAGTTTTTTGATGATACTTTGAACCAGTATCAGAAAATATCACCATTATTCTTCTGCTGATCGCATTAAGTTTTCGGGTTGACCAAAAATGCAAAAAGAAAAAATAGGTTGCAGTTGATTGCTTTCCCCCGTCATATTGCTGCTAAAGAGAAAGCAACCAGCGATTGCGGTCGTTGGACATCAATTTCAAGACACATCAAACCGATGGAAATGAAGCTAAACTTCAACATTTTCAGGATCTTCAAAACTTTTCAAAACTATCACATTTGTCTATAAAAAATTATTTTAAAAAAGAAAAACAACTCAAAGACTGAAATACGGAAAACGCAACTGCTGTTTTTCGAAATGTGTTAGCGCCAAAAAAACTCTCAGACTGAGAAGATCTATAAACGTTTGAATTTTTGATAGTTTATTTCAAGGTGCATTTTGTTTTGTATCTCTTTCATTATCCTTGTCCTTCGTGCTAACAAAATTGACGTATCTTGCAAAACAAATTCCAAAAAAAACGTCAGAAGTTTCACATAATGAATCTTCAAAAAATTTTTCTCCAACTTTTTCTCCCAGTTTGAAAACCACTTTTGTCAATACTGGAAAAATGAATAGAAATTAGAAGGATTGTTGTTTTGCTACAAGCCTCATCTCGGGTACAGCGAAAATTTTGAGAGAACCTACTAGGTAGTATGAATTTAATTCTCGAAAAATCCAGTACCAAGCAGATTGGAAAGTAGCATAGAAACAGATTCGAAGGCGACTCGACGAGAACTTCCACCAATAGAAACTTCAAGCATTCAAGTTTATTTGGCCCAGAGAGAAAATCACATGAAAAATATGAAAGACAACGATTGAAGATCATTTCTATGTAGAAGCAAGAACCACGAGAATTCTACATTTAGTTGAGATGATCGAACTGATGTCAGAAAAGCTACAAATTTGATTTAGCAAACTGAAAGTGCTGGTAAAGTCACAACATCTCAAAAAGATCAATTAACAAACCAAAAAGCAAACCACCAGAAGATGGAAAGTGATCTGTAGAGTTGTCTCACTTACATTGAAAAAGCACGGGAGGAAAAGGAAAAATTCATGGTGCAGTAGAATCCATTATGTAAGAACGATCGCCAACTGCTCATTTGTAGGCAAAAAGTCAACCAATTTTGACCAGAGTTCATTAAAGACAATTTACTAAGCGATGGACGGGGTCTTAGATCATATTTTCACTTTTGTATTTTATCTTTCTACTATGGTTGATGAAGGGATAAAATTCTTAAGTCAATCTTCGGTGGGTCCGTTCTTCTGAGTCGTCTTGCGAAGAATTGTCCGCTGATCTTCAGGCTCTCACTTGTGTTGTTTTTGATGATCTCGATTTACTTTTTTTATCGATGTTTAGAATTCTGTTTTTACTGACAAAAGACCAATTTTATAAATTTTAAAAAAAGAAAAGGAAATTTTTTTTTTGGAAAACTGAAGTTATAGGATTTAAGAACTTGCTGCTGACTGAGAAAAACGAAACGCTGAAAGTTTCAGGCCAGAAGTTTCCTCGTAAGCATAAGCCGGCGGCTGATTCATCTATCAAAATACTCAGGTTTCCACTGCCCCTTTATTCTTCCTTCATCATAAGGGAAATTTCAACTAGATTTAATGTGATTTTTTTCAAATTTAATATCCTTTAATTATTAGTCTTTTTTGATCAAATCCGCAGCCTTCAGTTCGATCTTATTTAAAACTCCTATAAAAACCTAAGTTGTTTCTCTGATGCATCATATTCTAGGTGCATCTCTTCTTAATCAAAGCAAAAAGAAATCCTGGGCAGCCAGCAAGACTATTAAGTTTTTATCGTTTTTTAAGGTTATAATTGAAAGAGACGTGTTAGTAATCACCACCCTTATGAAATACTGAGCATAAAAAAATGAGAAGAATTGGACAAGCATTTAAAAAGTAGTGAATTTTCTATAACATAATAATGCGTATCGCACTATCTGATTAAGTGAATAGAGGCTTTAATTCAAATGACACGCTTAAATTTAGAATTGGATCGTACAAAGTAAACAATTTAGACACCGGTCTTTTGTCTGTGTAGTATTTACAACACTACAACAATGAACTTTAAAATGACCAGGGTTAAGTCGCAGGTGTTCAAAATTAATCAACGACCAATTTTGAACAAAAATGACCAGTTCTTCAATCGGAAAATGTTACACTCACAAGCTGGCATTCGTCATCACGTGTACAGTATACATATTTTGACCACCTAAAATCATGGAATATAGCGTAGATTTTGTTCATGCTCAAATTTTTTTCACCCGACTTCAAATACCTATTATCTACTTCTGGTAGTGTCATGCACATGATCTACCTGTGCTTTAAACACACCTAAACTTAACAATTTCTTAATCGTAACTTCCTTCCGCTCTAAATTGTTTCCGTTTCATTTTTTTTTCAAAATTTAATTTTTTTATTGCTTCTGGAGTTTTCAAATGGTTGCAGAAACTGTATTTGAGTGAATTGGCTACAAATTTGCCTGTTTCGGGGTCAATTTTTTTGCAAATCAAATGAACTTTTAAATAGCCTAAAGGAAAGCCATAACTCCGTATTTTTTCCAACATTTATTTTTGCACCAATTAACTCAGTACTGGACAGAAACTAACTTTCGGAAAATTTTTTTAGCGCAAAAATAACTTCTTCTAGTCGGTATCAGAACTTCATTTAAAACCTATGACAAAGTGTTCTTGGTGTAGGAAATTAAGAGCAAAGACTTAAATTGTAGATTTATTCAGCTCACGACGGCATTTACGCCACTAAAGAGACTACTTTTTCAATTTACAAAAAATCCTCAAGAAATTGATTTAAATGTAGAATTGATCAAAATTAGAAAAGGTTTGCTGACATTTTTTGCAATTTTTTTTCTGCTAATCTCATTTAAATCCCTTCATGTGTTTTAATTTTAAAAACCAATTATTTTAATGGAAAAATGAGGAAACTGACAGGCTTCTTGGATGCAAAACACTTTAATTACACGCAAATTTATCTTAGAACTGTCCATTTTTAGCTCAGTCGACCATTTTTTTGTAATTTTAACTAATTCATACCAAATTAGAAACAAAAATACTATAGAAACAAAAATATATAGTTTCGTACTATGGAAACAAAAATTGAAAATTTGAGAATCGATAACCGAGAAATGGAACTGGCTAAAAGACCCATAACCATCAAAATTATCTGCTGGTGAGTATCAAAAAATAATGTATAGAACAAATAATTAGGTCCATAGTATCATAGGCGACACAGTCCTGATTACCCGTGTAATACTGCAATTCGAAATCTAAAAAGAATCTTGTATCTTATAGCTTATAAGCTGAAAATCAAGATAAATTTTCAGCAAAATTCGCGTTAAGTTATCAATGTTTGTAAGAAATATATAATCTCAAGATGCTCACAGGTTACCTGTATATTTTACATTTGTTGAGACCGAAAAAATATAATCACGATAAGTTGTATTATATTTAAATCACCTTTTCGAACCAATTTCGACTAAACAGTCAATTATTTCCTACAGAAACTTCTTGAAACTAAATATCCGTTAAAATTTGAGCCGCGCAAAAAATAGCTGGGCGAAAGTTTCTAGTCCAGAAAACTATAACAAAAAGTTTTTTGGCAAAAGAACTAAACGCTTTTGCTCTCATGAGGAGCAGAAAAAATGACGTATGAAAATACGGACTTACACCATGCAGATAAGTTTGATTTAGAAAAAAATTTACTTTTAGTCGTGGATGTGGGTATAAGAGCCAGGCGACTACCTTCCGCAAGCAAATTGCCAGGGCTTTTCCGAAAGAGAAATTTGTCTGGGTAAGAAAAACACGTCATTTCAGCTATTAGATTCATCTAAGTTTTTTCCTGTTGAAATTTTGAACATTAATTTTCAATTATTGATTGAATGCTCACAAGTAAATCTCTAACTGTAACTCTTAAAAACAAGCGAATGTAGACGAACAGATAATAATTAGCAAAAAAAATTAAAAACAAATTGAAAAATAATATTTCGAGCTAAGTTTATAAGTTGAAGATTTGTCATGGAGAAAAAGGTTAAAATGCTTTAGGTTTTGAAAACAACCGACCAGGTGAACGGATGCTTCGAAGTACTCATCAATGGCGAGCAAGTCCACTCTAAACTGGTAAGTCATTAAATCGAAAAAAATACACTCAGAACCTGGTGAAAAAAATACGAAGGAAAAACTCAATTATCTGTTGTATAGAAAAAACTCGCCCACCAATTACTAGCATTCGACAATTGATAACTTTCATTTCGAACTTTTTCTTTGGTTTTGCTTTTTTCCGAAATGGACAAGCATGCAAGCTATAAAAAAAACAAGTTGTAGTATCAATTTTACCACACTAATTGCCTACACGTCATATGCAAGTCTCCGCTAAGTTTAGTTTTGAAGAATTTGAAATAGTGTAGTTTGAAGAATTTGAAGTAAAATTGTTTGCAAAATTATATGAATTCTCAACTGTGAACAATTGAGCTAAAACTTTACAGCACACTTGAACGCTAAAAGCTTTCTTGAGACAACTAAGACTGGGTGAGAAAAAAGCCAACGGCATCGTAGTTTTTTTCTCAACCCTCTGAGGGATGGTGAGCACAACTTATCCGCACTCAGTAGAAAGAGAAAATAATCGATTATATTATAATTATGATCATACTGTAGCAAAGTTATAATTAATTCACCAAAAATGGATACCTCAAGATAGTTCCAAGGGGGAACCCCAGCCCCCCTCATAAAACCACCCCTGGCAATAAGTACAGAATTATAGTTTCTTTTAGTTCGGTAACCGACAAAATAGCACACAAAACAAAACAAAAATAAAATGACATGAAGCGATGACACAATTGTTGAATAATAATGGATTATAATCCATTATAATGGACTATAAATCAAAAAAAATTCAGTAAAAACGATTATAATGATTTTCATAGTAGCCTGATGATCCATTTTTAATCTATTATAATCAATTCTTTTTAAAATTAATGGAGACTGACAATAAAAATCCATTATAATCCAGTAACTTCCGCCCCACCCGCATTTAAGAAAAGTGAAAACAAATCGATTATAATGGATTTTCGTGGTCTATAATGTTGTAAGTATAATAGATTCCCATGTTACGTTCAGACAACAAAATTGGACTAAAAATGGATTAAAATCCATTTTTTCTCGCCAAAACAAAATGCATTATGATAAATTTTGAATCCATTATAATGGATTTTATAATAAGTAGGAAATCACATTAAAATGGATTTTTTCCACTTTAATTTTTGTTTCGCGCGTCGTGCAAATTTTGCAAGAATTTCAGCATTTATCAAGTGAGTTATGCGGAAACTTTGCAAAGCGAGTGTACGGCTGAATTCATTTCTAAACCTAAACTCAAATTGCAAAAAAATTCTGTTAAGCTCGGCTCTTTTCCAGTTTCCCCCCTTTCAAATTCAAATCCAAAAAGTTTTTTTAACATTATCATAATGCAATAAAATTTGGTGTGGTGAGCAGATCGACAATTGTAAACAGATTTGTTCTTCATACTTTACATCGTAACATCACGCATTTAGCCGTAATAACACGTAAAACATACACAAAACTCGATATTTTGAAAAAGGGTGAACTGGAAAAAAGACTTAACCTCTTCCCCCCCCCCCCAACATTTGCCCTTTTGCTCCCCCACTTTAACCCCCCCCCCCCCCTGAACACATCCCCCCCACCTGAACCACCTGAACACCCCCAGTAGTATATGAGTGAGCAAGAGTGGGGGGGGGGGGTGGTGGGAGACCCCCATGTATTAAGATAGGGAATAGAACATCCGGTCTCCCAGCTATGTATTAAGATTGGGTATAGAGTCTACAATGTATTAAGGTAGGGAATTGGTTTCCCATGTATTAAGATGGTAGGTTTCAGATGGTAAGTTTCAGAAAAATTTTTGGCGCCCGATCTTACCATGTTTTAAGATAGTGTTTAGATTTCCCATGTATTAAGATAGTGTATAGATATCCCTATGTATAAGGATTAGAAATTCCTTGTATTAAGATAGGGAATGGTAAGGTTTCAGTGTGATGGTAAGAAAATAGTAAGAAAAACGGTATTTTTTTGATTTTGTGTGGAAATGTCTAGTTTTTTCGCAAAAATCTCGGCATGCGTTATGTAATTCTTGAGTGTTACATGTAGAATGTGCAATGAAGAGAATAAGTTTATTGGTTCATGGTAAGTCCATGGTAAGATGTGAAAAAATTTGGAAATGCTTATAAAAAAATTGATAATTTTTTCAAAAAACTTCAAAACACGATATGATTTGATATAATTTTATAATAATAACTATTTTATTAGATGATCTTTTTTTAGAAATTGTACTCAATCTAGCTTAAACTATGCTGAAACCTACTGAAATTTTAAAAAAATTTTCAAGTTTTTGGAAAAAATTGCAAAAATTTCAAGTATTTGGAAAAAATTGCAAAAATTTCAAGTATTTGGAACAAACTGCAAATTTTTGAAAAAAATTGCAGAAATCTCATAATTTTGGTTAATGTATTGTTGTTTTTGATCTAATTTTAAACATACTTTTAAGTATTGGTTTTAAAAATAAGCTAAGATTGTATTTTAATTGGCATTATGTTGAGACAATGATACAAAATGTTGAATAAAAAAATGACTTTTTCCACAATTTTTTCTCAATATAATGAAATACAATGAAGTTTACCTTAATTTGAGCTAAATACTTGGTTATACAATGCTCTAAACACTAAAAAAAGGTTCATAGTAGCAGAATCAATATTGAAACTTCCGGAAAACAGTGAAATGAGTCGTAATTTTTGAAAAGGTAAAATGAAAATTAATCAAATTTACATGAAATTTTCCATTTCGAACTTTTTATTTTGATTTTTAACTAATTTTTTTAGTCCAGTTCAGGGATGATTCTTAGGAATCTCAATTCAAATGAACATTAAGCGCAATTTTCTATGAAATTTCTAAATCAAACTCCATGATTCAACTCCTCCTCACTTTTTTCTCATTGAATTACCCAAATTTGTACAAAAATTAAAAATTGTGAGAAATTTTTTATGTTAAAACTTAAAAATTTCAGATTATTGATAAAAAATGAACAGTTTATTGCTAAAATTGTTTAAAATGGGATAAATGTTTCATAAAATTTTATTCGATATTGGGTCAAATTCAACAAAAACTTCTTCATAACTGATGATTATCTCTCTGTTGCTTCTGCAACATAACTTTCAAGATTTTCCGTAGAGTTTTTCCATGTTTTAAAGTTATTCTTGCTTTCTGTTTAATACATGTTTTTGCTATTGAACACACCCTACTAGAAAATTTAGTCAAAACTGGAGTATTTAGGAGGAAAATAGTATCAATTGAACGAACAATTTGCAGGCAGAGATGAAATTAGAACTGATACCGTATGACTATTACAATAAAAAATGTTAATATCTTCCTCAAGGTTCCCCTGTTCAGTTGCTATTGTAAACTATTTAAGCAAAAATACACATTTTGGGATCAATAACTATCACTTTTCTTGCAAAATAGTTATTAACTCGTTTTTTTTCTTAAATTTTGACGGAAATTTTCTCAAAAATATCCAAGTGAGGAAGAATTTGTGCTAGTTAAAGCATTCAAAAATATATGTACAAAATGAGAATATAAAGGTGTATTTTTACGATTTAAGAACAAATTAGGAGCAGCTCTATTAGTTATAATCTGAAAATCTCCGGAAATACGCAAGAGAAACTAGTTCCTAACATATACAATATAAAAACTTCTGAAAGATCGAGTCTCAAAAATTTGATTTAGCAAAGCAAATCAAGGTGCAAACTGGAACAATTGTGTAATTTTCCGATTTTTATTAAGAAAAAAACTCTATGTAGTAAAAATGTAGTAATGTATTGTATATAGTGTTGTATATTCTATGTAGTATTGTGTATGTATGTAGCAAGGAAAAGTAGATCTTGAAAGCAAGTTTTCGATTTATGCTTTATGTATCTTCTTCCAAAAGATGTCGAATTGGGTTTGCTTCTCAAAAATTATCCTCAAAACATTGAATCTTTCATATAAGGTACCTAATTTATCAACTAATGAATTACGCATGAATAAAAGACTTTGAGAATTTTTATGTCGGATTTTTTCTCAAGATATACTTTATAAGCTACATTTTAGTAAAATTATCTCAAATCTCCTAAGGAATAAATTGAATTTCTATCTCATTTTAGCATTTTCTCAGTTTCTGCTTCATCTACTATCTACCAAATGAATCCAATTTGAGAACATTTTTTACTTGAAAAATGAATTTTAGATGGAAAAATGTATCGTTTCAACGAACGTTCAACAATCCAAAGCTGAATTAATACCATAAATCCTTTACTAAAAAGCTTTAAAGAATTTTCTCAACCTCATAACTGTATAATGCTGTTTTAAATCTGAATTTCTCTTTTAGACTAAATTTTTAGTTGGAATGATGTAAATCATTATCTTGAAACTTACAAAGTGTAGCAAAATATACATTTTTTCCAGGCCATTTATCAATTTCTTTTCTGAAATCATCAAAAAATCAATAGACCAACATAATTCCTAATAAGTCAAACCACATTATCTGCTTAAAAAGCTCTGGTCTATGAACACTTTTACAAGCACTAAACAAGGAAAACTTTAAAATAGTAACTACAAAAAACCTTTCAATTAGTTGATGTTTTCCAAATATCCAAGTTTTACAATTTTTAGGCGAATACTTAAATACTCATTAGCATATGTTATGCACTTTACTACAAATTTATCACAACAAAGTCTCCGCAAGCTTGCAACCAAGGGAGTTTTTACTGTTGATTAAAAGTTTTCGGATCGAGTTCCATGGAAAGCTTCACGACGATTTGAACTCGATTTTTGCTGTCTTTAACATCAATCAAAACCTTTGAATAAAAAAATAAAAGACAGTTCAGGTAATGTAATGAAAACACTGTATAATTACTGACTAGATTTGTTACAATTGCTGAGACTTTTCAGATTCGGTAAAAACTAATAATCATAGTAATTTCTAAGTTTTTCAAAAAAAAAACTTAAAAGTTTTACCTTCTCCTGAAGTGTGTTTGCAGTCTGCTGAGCACATAATTTAATATTATGCTGAGAATGGT